TTTAAGTTTTTTTTCTAATGATGGATCATCATCTGTTCTTATTACTGAAATTTTTTTTTTTACCTAGGAAAAATGTTTCTATTTGTTTCCTCCTATTGTTTTCCTATCGTTAATTTTGAAATTCTTACATATATCATTTATATTTAGTCATTTATTATTTTTACAATTGGCCAAATAAAATTGACTTTCAATATATAATATACCAAAAAAAAAAGCAAAATACAACTAAAGTTTATATATATATATATATATATATATATATATATATATATATATATATATATATATATATATAATATTGTCCAACTCTTTTTCAAAAATAGTATAATAGATACAGTTTGTACTATAATTGTTAATATTGAAAATTAACAAAGATAAAGAGCGCTGTGAAATCACAAGATCTTCCGGAACTGAGAATCCAGGATTCCAATATTCATATTTTTCCCAAAGTTTTCGGGGCGGCTGCCATTTTCAAATTGAAGGAGGATTATTGGGCTGGGTGGTATTGGATAAGAACTGGTCCAGGGGATTATTATGATGAGGAAGATTCTGATCGAATTCTAGAAAATAATATTCAGTCAAGAAACACGAGGGGGTGTAGGAAACTGGTGTATGGTTTCGTGAATGAATTTTCAAGTGAGTTGACTTCATGTTTTTCTTTCGCATATAGCACAGTTCTGACTAATTCGATGGAACTTGGTAATAAAGTCTTTACGAGGAATTTTTAAATAATTCATTTTATACTAAATTATATACAAATCATATATAAAGTAATAATATATTATACAAAAAATAATTAAAATATGGACTGTATATTCGTTTTTTTATAAAAATATTATGAGTTCCTATGGTAACCATCTACTTTAGTTTCTAGAATAATTTTTATTTGTTTTTGCTCAATAGGGTAAATCGCTACGACTCGTTTCAACTGTAGAAGTATCTAAGTGATTTGGATTATATTATAAAAAAAATATTCATTCTCATTGTATCCTATATATTATTTCTAAAAGGTGTTTTTTTTGTCGGAACGCCATAACTTCGTCAAATCTTCATCAAATCCAATGATTGACCACTCATTTTGAAGATATTCTTCTCCTTCACATGCTAAGGATAGTCCTAACCCCCCCCCCTCCCAAATTACTGGGAAAAAATTATGAAGAAAAGAACCTTTATTTGCTAATAACTAAAAAAGTATGCATTTTTTTCTTGATTCTTCCTACGATAATTAGAGGCTGCTAAATTGCTAAACTGCTAAAGACTAAATTACCTAAAAAACAAACAAAAAATCGTAAAAATCTATTAGAAATATGTATTCGTATTAACAGAAGGAGTAAAGTGTGTTAATATATTTTTTTAAGGAGAAAAAGAGTTGATATTTGTATTACGAATTTTCATTCTAATTGAAAAAAAAAAAAAACAATCTACAAATTTCCCCTTTGATTTTATTTCGAAATCACATTCTCCTTCAGATGCGAAAAATAGTCAATTCTCCCAAAATTTCTGAGAAAAAAAGTTATAAAGGAAAAGAAACTTTATTTGCGAATAACTCAAAAAGTATGCATTTTTGATTGTGCCCATGATAATTAGAAAGATTATTAAATTACCTACAAAACAAAAAAAAAATTGTAAAACTTGGACAATTATTAATAAAGATATAGTCTATTAGTTTTGGTTTACTTAATAATGTCTTCCGATTTAAAGATATTGCATTTAGGAATAGAATAATCTAGTACATTTTTTTCTGACTGATATATTAACTTTATTATTTCTTTAAGACATTTGGTTGTTTTTACATTTAATTTTTTTAATAATTTAGAATATCCCATGATCGGGGCATTATTTTGTCTATATTGCTTTTATTATATTTCCATTCAGCGTTTAAATATTAGTCCTAGCCAAGCAATTTGTACAAATATTTTGGTCAATTTTATTTAATGGAATATTGTAATCAACGAAGGAAAAAATATAATTCCTTGCTTACATAAAACACAGGAACTACTTATTTCCATATTATTTTGCTATTTCTTCACTAAACAAAATTTTCTTCGAATTTTTCGCACGGGCCAACTAGTAGTCTATATTAATTTTTAAGGGATATATATAAGTAGAATGAAATTAAAATGCTAAGTTCTTAAAGTATAATATAGTTTTACTAATTATTACTTAATATAAAGGCGACGTGTTTTAAAAAAATTCGAATACTGATGCAATTCAAGTTTCGTTATCTTTGAATGAATGATACAGAAAAAAAATAAGGTTAATCTTGTTCTATTTATACTAGTTTTGTAATGAGTACATTTCCCGTCCAGAAATAAAGATAAACAGAACTAAGAAAGGCTCAGCAAGACCTTAAAATGTATCTAAGATACAGTACAAGGAATATGTTAACCATGTGTAAGAAACAAATCATTATGAAACTGGAGATAAGAAAAAAAAGAGAAAAAAAAGTACATTCCCCAATAATATGTTTAACATAAAGATTAAATAGCAATACTGGCGTGGCTTATGAATAACGTAAACCTGAAAACTATAAGTCTCCAAGCATATGCTGAATACTCATTTGAAGAACTATTAAATTTTCTCTATAACCAAATTAAAAAAATAAAAATTTTAATAAGACCAATATTAATGTAAATGATAAAACAATAAAATTTTTGTAGTAGTTTCTGTCACTAATGCGATGAGGAAAATAGTGTTCATCGATAATAATTACATTCCTAATTTAATGAAAACGCTTTAAAAATAATATTGTTTATTATACTAAATATTCCGAGTTATGTATTGAACGAATAAATAATTGGCGGAAAATTTACTTTTCTTTAATCTTCTCATGCTACAAATTCGTTATCAGCTACTAAAGGAAAAGAAATGAGAAATAAAATCGGGAGCAATTAATCGCTGTGTGACATTACAGAGGAATTAGGAAGTGGTCTCGTGCAAGCTGCATTAGAAAACTCCACTATGCAGTCGCTGACTAGCGTGGGTATGCCAAGCATCTAGGTTACTTATGAACCAGTCCTGCACGGAATACTTCAGTAAATATTTCATTTATTGACTTATCTAAGATTTCATTTAATTTTCGGTCATGATATTTTTATTAGGAAATATATTTGATAAACTTTTTAAAAAAAGAGGGGAGAATGAATATATATACATAATTGGTAATTGGTTGACTGTCGTGGATAATGAAGAGAAGAATAGTTGGGGTGCTCAGTCAAAAAAGGAAGGCAAAAAATAAATTATAATATTTATTTTTTACATATGCCGACGTTTCGACCTGAAGTTCAGGCCATCATCAGGGCTAAGAAAATAACCAGATAACAAGGTATGAGAAACATAAGTAATGATGGTAAAAAAGATAATAAAAAATGAGAAAATAAAATAGATTAGATCTAAATAAAAGAAAAATAAAATAGATAGATATAAAGTAAAATGAACTTTGAATATATATACATATGAAGCATATGTCACCAAATGGGCTCAAGTTGATAAATGTAAGTGTTCAGTTTCTGTTTCAGGTTTAATTTTGACCGTCTTGAAAGATGTGAGTATGATCGTCGTAATGTGAAAAATTTGTATAAACAATTACTGATTGCCTAATTGTATTATTCACTGCAAAGAATTGCTTCATTTTTTTTTTCTTTGATGTTATTTATTTTTTAAAAAAAGTTAAATATATCTGAAGTAAACAACAGTGTTTCATTCCAATTATGGTATAATTAAATTTTTGCATATTATAAATAATTACTTCCTTTGTACGCGGTAAACGGTACAATTATAAAAACTGAATGTAATGACTCGTTAATGACCTGTTAGTACAGGTAATAAATCTCACCTGATGTAACCTTTCCCTGGCGCCGCGACGGCATTCAAGTCGCGACGTCTTTCGATTCGCGAACTATTTAATATCATTCGCTGTGATAGATCCATTATCTATTCAATTCCAGCAAGCTATTGCAAAGCGAATTTAAATCCTAGCTATATAAATGCCATTGGAATCTCTTCGTTACGTGAGAACCAGGCTCGCGGTTTCACTGGAGAAGGCGTGTCTTAAGTTTTTGGCCTGAGGTACACATACCCACGACTTGGGATTACAAAAATATCGATACATCGATGTTCAAGAGTATTACTGAAAGTCAAACATCGATTTTTTTATAATAGTACTTTTGGCACTTTTATATGTGTTTGTTTAATAAAAACATCTCTATATTTTTTGCTACGTCGTTATTTTTAATCCAGAATATTTCATATTATACCATGAACTTTATTTATAATTCGCTAGAAATAGATCGAAACCTAGAGATGGTTCGAATGTGAATCACAGAAGTATGAGTTATTTTAAGTAATATGAACCTTGTCTACCATTTCAAAACTGATAAGATAAAAAATTTAAGGCTAGACAATAGAGATTGAAAAGAAGGCAATGTTGTGCAAAATGTGGCTAATATTAGACTGTTAACATACAAACACACACACAGAACATTTTTCGGGACTTGGTCATTTCGACTCAGGGTACCTCAAAACTTATATTTCCGTTGAAAACTCAGGTTCAAACATTTTCTCGATCGCAATACTTACCCTTACTGTGTATTACATATATACGTAAGTGAAAGTAAAAATTGTATCGTTATATACAACTTAAAATATATTTTTGTATAAGACCACCTTGTTCTTAATTTTGTGATCGAATTATCTCGCGATGCAAGTGAAAAGGAAACTGTAATTAACAATATGATCATTGACATCAGTTTAAATATTTCATTATATTGTAAATGAATGAAATTCCTTAAATGTAAAGTAGGATTTTGTTATGTTTTCCGTTAGTTGTTGGATAATAAATAAATAGAATAAAATATCTTCGTATTATTTTATTTAGGTTTAGAGAAATGTTATATTAATCAATATGTATAATTGACTTTATAAAGTTTAATATTCAAAATCCAAAAACAACCTTTACCTCCTTGCCTTTACTATAGGTAGAGGCAATGGCCCCTAGCTAGATGATACAGTTGCTGCAGACAGTGACCAAGAGCGAGTGCAGCCTTGACCAACCGACCGCTAGGGCGATGAACCTTGTGCCTCTGCCCCAGGTCGGAGGGTGTCCGCTGGGATCTCCTCTATGGGGCACCGGGAAGGGTCTTCTTTGCTTGGGTTTAAGGCCCATGTGGGAGTATTAGTTCAGGCCTTACTGATGGCGGAATTTCCGACTTACTACTATCAAACAAATTTTATATTTTTTTAACTCATCTGGTTTCAAATTTCATATTATTTTTTTAAACTCCATTTCTTTACCCACACCTGCCATAAGCAATGAAAACTACCTAGTCTGTTGTTGGTACAGATAGTGGCTTGATCGCTATGAAGGAGAGAATGCTCAGCGGCATCCGTTCCTGTCTTGAATTTAGCATCTTTTTAAGCGAGGAAATATTTCATCCATCTCCTTTTCAGCCTCCTAAATGTGTTTTCGGGGACTTTAAATGTAATAAGTGTGTTGGTATCTCCATGTAAGTTATTGATTGAAAAATCGTTTGTAGTGTGTCCGTATGTTGGCATTTGAAGGTAATTATGTAAAATAATGTTTGCGAGGTACCATAGAGCTTTATTTATGGTCATGAAGATTTTTAACTGATATGTTTGTAGTTTTCGTATGTGGGTCGTTTTGGCTACCCCGTAAATTCGTGAAGCTTAGCTCCATATGGGCTTAAGTAGATAATACTAAGTGTTCAGTTTTTGTTTTATGTTTAATTTTGAGCGTCTTCAGAGAAGTGAGTCTGAGGTCTTAGTCTTAGTCTGAGGTTTAACTTTTTTTTTTTGTTGATCTGTGGTCCCCATGTCATTCTGTAGTCCTACTATAATAATAGTCCTATTACATTACCTTTTCTCGCAAAATATATCTTGCAGTCATTTTTACTAAAGAATAAATCATAATCATACAATTTTTTATATTGTAGTACTGAGAAAAGAAAAGAAAGTTTATTTCAAAAAATAATATATGATAAATAACTATTAAAATTTAAATATTTTAAAAATAGTAAATTACAATTTTTCTAAATCTTTATATTTTACGATGTTAATTAATCGCTACTATACATCTTATCAGAAAAGTACTGAATAACTGAAGTCATAAGACTTTGAATAAGGGAAGTTATAAAAAAACATAAGGACTTAAACATAAAAATAAAAAACATACAAATCCATTCATAAAAATAAATGTTTGATGTATACACAATAAGTAATAAAATATTCGGATTCATAAAAATGTTAATTTTTGATTGAACTATTAGCAATGAAAAAGAAAACAAATATATAAAAAAAAAATCTCCAGTTTTAGGTCTCTTTTTTGCAAACAGTTTGATAAGATTTTTTAGAATTCCTATCTAACCTGGAAATGTCTCTAATTAGCATCAAGACTTCTCTATTTTGGTTCCAAAACAGAAAAAAAAATGTTGTAATCGAAGCTAGAGGCTGTCAAGAAGGTGTTTTAGAATTCTGGAACATCCGGCTGAGACCGTTTGCCAAAAATGTGCCACTTTAGCATTCTAGAGGTTGCCAAGGCTAAAGGATTCTGCAAGTGTGTGGGACAGGATAAATTTAATTTTGCTGATTTTATAAGTCTGTTTAAATTTTATACTGTAAAATAATAGAATTAAACTTATCTTGACCCAAATTATTCATTACATCATAATTAATGAAAGGTCACTAACACCAATGGTATCCAATGAAATTGAAATTTGTTGTAGTTAAGTGATTATGAATTAAATAAACAAATAACAATATAAAACATGATTTATCATAAAACCCAATATCAATACATTTTCACGAGAGAAAATATCAGATTCCTGTTATTACAGGTGCATAAAAGCAAACCTGTGTTAATTCGTACTCAATTCTTGGATTCGAATTTTCCTATTTGGCCAGGTTTAATATCGTTGGTCCTACTGTGCAGCGTATCAGTGTTGTACATGTTCGAACTAATTGACATATTTACTGCCCACCTTTACGATGTATTGATTTCATGTCTCAGTTGATTTGTTTTTCAAATACATTTGTGCACTGGTACCTTTACGACACTTGAAAGCTGTAAGTTAAAAATAAAGTTCAAATTTAACAGTTTTAATGGAACATTATGTAAAATAAGTTTTAAAATAAATGTTTTGAAGAACATTTTTTGTAATGAAATTATGAGTTTTGTAAAATGTGAAACCTTTTATATGGCTTTGTATTAGAAGCCTGTACCACTACAATCTACGAAGTGTTTCGGGTTCAATACTTGGGAAGGAAGTACTGTTTCTAGACCAGAGTTGGCCAGGGAGGCGATTGGGCCGAGATCAAGCTCAACCGTCAAATTTTTCCCTTAGTTAATTATTTAATATTGAGAGTGCCTACTTTATAGAGGCTGAGTGTGCCCTAGTGGGTCTTCCGACCCCTGAGTCAATCCTCGGCTGATTTAGCGTAATAAATAATTACCTCCTATCAGCTGGATTTCAACTCAGTATCTTGAGCATAGGAAGCAAGTTACTTACTCACTGAGTTACCCCGCTCCCCGAAATAATAAGGAAAAATATCTGGTGTGGAGCGCATATCACACAATTTTCACCTACCATCCTCTTCTTAGCAGAAAAAAGTATTTTCAGACAAAGGAGAAGTGAAAGTAAAAATGATATACGCTTTATTGATTTTTATTTCATTGTGGATATTTTTATTTGTTTAAGTATCCTTATATATATACAAATTTTAAATATTTATATCGCTGTAATCTATAAAATTAAATAATGACAACGAAAACATTTAGGAAAACCGCATATGTATATGTACATAATATTGTCGGAGTTCGGATTATTCATTATTGTTCGGCTCCTTCATTACAACTTTTCCCTGTTACGATCTCATATTTCTAGTTTAGTTAATAATCAAATTTCTTTTATATTTAATTATTTTATATATTAGAGATCCATGTGAAATGGTTAATTGTTTCAAATAAAAAAAAATAAACGTACTTTAGATGAAGCTAATATTGAAAATTAGCCATTTAAGCCCTTTAATAGAACATAAATGAGAACAAAACCTATATTAGTATTAAAAACAGCTTAATTTTACACTAAAATAATGAATTTAATCAAAATCGTTAAAGTTGTAAAAATATGTTTGATCTATGATATAAAGTGCCACTTCCTGTTAGCCAATTTCGACGAAAAAGTTGCTGTAACATCTGAGGTATATACAAACCTTAAATATGCAATTTCAATTTCATTCGACTTTTCGCTTTTGAGCTAGACCTGTACACACAGACACACACACATATTTCATATATAGGTAGGTAAAGTAAAAATAAAATATTATAGTTAAAGAAGTAGTAGAGAGTAAGTTAAAAGTAAAAGTTCCTGTGATATCGAAACTGATAAAGTAATTAAAAATAATAAAGTAACTTATTATTAAAATAAATTAAAAATAAAGTAATTTTTTATTTCAAATAAGGTCGAGGTATGTAATTGTTAAAATTAAGTTCCTACTAAAGTTGTAATTGGCCGGTTAATGCATCCTGTTAATCTTGGGAGTGTTCGCTGATTGGAGGAAGGGTTGTGGCCACATTGGGAACTCTGGTATTTTTTGTCCTGCCTCCTTCGGCCCATCACTCCTGCGTCTTGATCCTTTTTTCTCGCCTTCCTCCTGGTCCTTAATGGTCGGGCATTTAGGCTAAGCCAATGAACGGATAAGGGCCACATCAGTGTCACAACATTATGATTAAGTACCCTGTCCTCGGTTAGGTCTGTCTCCTTGTCAGGTATTTTATTTTATTTTAAAAGAGACCTGTCCTTGTTAGTACTCAGGTTTTAGAGACCTTGTCGTTTGGGTCGATCATTATTTTTAAGTTAACTATATTTTAAATAATGGTGTATCTACTCGTTATATGTTTAATATAACGCCCACATTGACTTGAAATAAATGAAATTTATTTATACCTGTACCTCTTCTCACCTTAAACTGCCTTCGGGAACGCCATAGAAATGGACATATATGTACCTAGTTCTAACATAAATACTTTTTAAAAAAATGAACTTTGTTTATATCCTTCTGTATTATTTAGATAATCTATCAGATTATTTTCTTTACATGTCAGGAAAATAATCCCAATTAGTTTGTATTTTTGTAGTAACCGAATAGTTGTGATCGCCTTACACAAAGTTGGAAAATGTAGGTCAGAGATTTTCAACACTTTGAAACCTTTGGGTATCAGCCGCATGTTCATGTACCGCAATATAAATAGATATAATGAGATCCTATCAGTATGTGATAGACCGCGACAGGGCCGTCCCCTCACTTTAAGAACGGCAAATGAAGTAAGAGCAGTGGCAGCTCGAAGCAGAAGAAATCCCATTCGAAAACAACAAACCATGTCTCGGGAAATTGGACGCTAAAGAGGCTCAGGAAGTCAATGAAGAGTGGAAAGAGGTCATCACCATTCCTCAGTGATGGTTTGCTGGTTTGAAGGCACCACAAAGCTTCATTTTTATGAAAAAAAAAACTAGTTAAAACAACCGCTAAAAACTATCAGGATGATATTTTGGAACCTGTTGTCAAGCCTCTAAATAATACTTTGTTTGCTGAAAGTCATTGGGTTTTCCAGCAGGATTCCGCTCCAGCTCACAAGGCCCAAGTCAACTCAGCAGTGGCTGCAAAAGAACATTCCAGAGTTCATATCAACCTCGGATTAGCCCTTAGAAAGCTCTGATCTCAACCCACTAGATTATCAGCTTTGGTCCGAACTGGAGAGGATGGCATGGCACAGAGCACACCCTAACTTGGAAAATCTCAAACAATCTCTCGTCCGAGGAATTGAGCGCTTTCCTCAAGAAATAACCGTGAAGTAAATGACTGGCCAAAGAAATTAAATGCCTGTGTCAAAGCAAATGGGAGACATTTTGAGTAATTTCTTTTTTGATTATTCTCTGCAGATATACATTTTATTTTCTAATAAAGTTTTTGAAAAAAAATAATCTGTAGAAATCTGTATATATTTCCTTGTAACAATATAAGTATGTGTTTGGCAGCGGGCTAGCTCAATGGGTAAGCACTGACTTCAAAAGCTCAAGATCCAGAGGATCTAAGCCGACTGATGTTATGATATTTTTCAGAATTTTTTTTCATTCTGTTATATCAGTCATTGTTCGACGCTGTAGTCGGAAGAACCTTTACCATATCTCAGAAACCTTTTTAGGATAATTATTTTAGACTACATTAAGGTTTAATAATGGAGGCGCCTATAAATAAAATATAAATAATAAATAACAAATAATTATTGGAGGTAAAATATAACATCCAAGATACTGTCTGTCGTTGAAATATGTCCTAAAATTCATAGACAATCTTTATATTTATAAATTTAAAATTTCTAAGTTAAATTTTTTAAAAGAGTTTAGGCGGATATAAAGAGTGCGAGGGAGGCTTAGACGCTTGTGCTTGTGCTGCGTTTGCACAATCCCACCTGATCTAGCAGTTCTTGTCTTGTCGGTGGCAGACCTACTCGGTATCACTACCGTCGCTTAAATTATTATATTATTAGATTATTATTATATTGCCATGTTCTAATAATGTTCATCTTTAATAAAATATCTCTTCAAAGTACTTATATTAATATTAAAAAAAAAATAATCGGAACATGACATCAAGGAAGAGTTAAATATCTTGAAAAATAATTAGTTCCAAGAACACCACATCATTGAAAAATTCCTTTAAAAAAATTATAATGTCGTATATCACACAACTTTGACTGATCTCAGGAAAAATTATTTTTAAAAAGTAAATAAACCTCAAGAATCAATAATTTATTTAATACTGCAGTTTATATTCCCTTTTCGGCAGGAAAGAAGATTTTCTTGAACGAGGTATTAAATGAAAAGGAATTTCATGGAAAAGTTATGAATAGCAATTTCAAAAATAAGAATCCTAAGACAACTATAATAAAATTGATTTAAATAATTGAGTGGTTTAAAATTGCGCAGAGATCCGGTCTCTAGTAATAAGATATATATAAATATGTATTTAATTGTTGCTTTTAAAACCATCATATATCTACTTCAGTTCAATGGTAATCATTTTTACTTTTTTTCGAAGATAGTCAAATGAATGCCTGAAATTTTAATAGTTTTTCGTTTTGTTTTCGATATGTTTGATAACGATCGATACTATGTGTTATCTATATCATTGTTCAATATTTACATCCCCTTTCCTAAAATTGGGCAGTGTAGAGATGAAGTAACAACATATATACACTGACAGGTAAAAAATTCCACCCACTTGTTACCCATTAAGGAACCACGTTGGAAAGGTTGGCTCTAGGAAAAATTCCAGGCTGCATATCTTTCGTTTCTTCTTCTCCACACCCTCTCACGCCCGTCTGGAGATCGAAGAGCGAATCTTGACTCATCTGTAAAAAGTACAGCACTCCATTCCTCCATAGTCCAATGGCTGTGTTATCGAGCAAAAGCCAGCCGTGTTACTCTGTGAGTTCTGGTCAACTCTAGTCCTCTTACTGGACGAAAAGCCATTAATCCATACTCATTTAATCTTCTCCGAGCGGTACGTTCAGAAATTTGCACACCTCGAACTTCTTCGAGCTGATGAATCGCTTGAACAACGGTAAAGTGCCGGTTTCGTAAAATTCTCAAAGTCAAAAACCGGTCATCCCTTGGTTCTGTTACCCTAGGCCGTCCAGAACCGGGCCTTCTATTGAAAGAACCAGTTTCCCGAAAACGTCTGACGGCGTCTCGTAAAGTTTCATATGGAACTCCGTTGGCATTAGCTGCATATCTAATGGAACGTCCATCATCAATAAGTGCCACACCACGCGCAACATCCTCAGCACTAAGAGGCATTTTAAACTTAATATTGAAAAAATTAAAAGCCGGAGACTAAGAAATGTGCTGCAAGAAGCGGCACTGAACTAATGATACTGAATAAACATTTTGATTCCATAGAAAGTAAACATTAAAATCTAGAATCATTTCATTGAATTAAGGGTTATTGTCCTCTATATTAACATTCCTAATTGAAAACAAACAAAAAGATTACCTATTTATTCATTAAAAACAATAGACCAATCCAAAGCAGAAATATTTTTAGATGAAAACATGAAAAAATCAAGTGGGTGGAATTTTTCGCCTGTCATTGTATATGTATATGTTGCATCTACTTATATTATAATTGATAAAAAATAAAATGGAGGATAAGAAAAACAATATTTTCACTCCTAATCTTTTCAATGATTACAATTATCGAGTCCTGATATATTTAAGTATCGATATATGAAATTAATATTTCGATATATTTGAAAAAATATATCTATACTAAGTAAAATATATATAGTAATATATCTATACTAAGATTCTTAGTTTGTGTACTTACTTGAAAAGATTAAAAAGAAAACAAAAAAACAGATCAATTCAAATAAAATTTATATCCTCAAAATAGGCAAAAGTAAAAACAGGTATATTCTTGTACTGCAAGATAATGTTAAATATATACGCGTTATGTATGCGACCATATTTCGTGATGATTCATATCATTTGGTTATGAGTATGCGCTAATAATATATCATGTATCTCTGGTATATTTATTGGCTCGGTTTCCTTCTGTAATAAATATCTCAGACTTGATTCGTATTAACTAAGATGGCGGCGCCCGAATCCTCTTATCGCTAATATGATTGGATTGCGATAAATCAGTCTTCCGGTGCCTATTTGATTATTCATCCAAAGCCTTATGGATCTGAGGAGCCGTAAAGCAAAACCAGGCTGATTTTATGGCCACGCTCTCGGACGGTATTATACGACCTTCTTCTTTTTATATGGCTTGACTATTGCACGTTGCCTTCCTCCGACCCGTCCGCAATTTTATGTTGGCTCCGATGCTCCCATAGCTTGGATATTAGCAAAGTCTGAACCAGGCTTAACGAGGAAAACTAAAATCGGTGTGTTAAATTGAGGACATATTGCGGAATCAAAGTATCCGACAGGATCCCCGAACATGTCTGTTAATGAACGTTTACAATATTTTATTTTTACTGCAGAAAATTAAAATGTGCACCCTCAGTTTATTAGGCTTTTATATACAATATTATTTCTCCAAACTATGCCATAAATTACTTTTATGATCTGGAGAATAATATATAAATGGAGAAAATGATGTTGTATTGCTTAACCTATAAATATAAATGATGTTTCCAGACTAAGAGAAGTTGAAATAGTAATCACTATAAAGGTGTTGAGTAGTGTAAAATCGCCTCGAGATTGATACTGACTAACTTGACATCAATGCGTAGATAAATTAATAGCAGATATTACAATTTTAGTGTTAATGGATACCAGTTTAATTTTATATTAAATGAAATTCAAGATCATCCTGTCTTTTTTATCGAGACATCACCCAATATCTGTCCTATTGTTTGTAGAATTGTACAGACTTTTATTGGTGGACAGGTATTGTACAAAGGACTAAACACGACATCGAAACCTCATTATAAGGTTCTCTGTGTACTTATAAAATGAATACCATTTTACAGGATTCCAGACTACGTTAAATTAAAAAAGCGCCCATGTTTAACATACATTTTTTAAATAAGTTTCTCGACTATAACAAATTTATAATACTTTTAGCACTAATTGCATGAATTGTAATTATTTTTTATTGTAAATATTTTTGTTAAAGATTATGTTTTAAATATAACTGGCCTTGAAGAATGGTGTGAAAACTGGAGGTTTAAAATAAATTCAAACAAATCACTTTTACCCTTCCTCGTAAAAATATGACTTCCTGTTCTACAGCATCTTTTAATAACACCCCACTTATCCCTGTTGACTAAATCCGATACCTTGAACTCCTCCTGGACAAACATCTCACTTGGAATCCTCATACAAGACTGAAACGACAAGAAACTGCTCGACGTTTCCGATTACTCCAACACTTACTAGACAAACGCTCTAAACTTTCATTAATTACAAAAGACTAATATTCATGAAAATCATAAGACCTATTTGGACTTACGGAGTTGAGCTTTGGAGCTCCACTAAACGATCAAATTCCTCTCGTATCCAATCCTTACCATCCAAAAGCCTTCCTAAAATCCTCAATGCTCCTTACTTTGTCACAAATAAAATAATCCATAATGACCTTAATGTCCCATATGCAGCTGATTTGGCCCAATCCAGATACCTATCCTTCCATAACAAACTGCAGAACCATCCGAACCCTCTCGTTTCTAACCTTGCATCCTCTTCGATTCCTGATAACCCCCAAGGCGTCTGAAAAGAAGATGGCCTCGTGATCTCCTTATGTAGACATATTATTAGAATGCTACCTGTGGGTAGTTTCTCAACAAGCGTTTTCAAGTGATTATATTCTTGTGTACAAATTTACTTGATGTATTTATATTATAATACAGTTGTAAATATCTTGAATAAATAGTTTTAAAAAAAATACAACTGGCATCTGTATATAATTGAGTTTAATTACTGTACTTTCTTTTTTAAAAACTATCAAAACTGAAAATAAAACGAAACCTATATAGACACACATAACTACTAAAAATCTTATATATTTAAGCTTCATAAAAAAAAAAAAAAACACATTTACTAAAACGAAAATATTTTATATCCAAAATTTTAAGACTAATAGCAAACACTCCCTAGTACGTAAATAACAAAACTCTACATGCCGTTACACTATTAACTATGC